GACTGGTTGCATAGAGAGGTGGGAGGCTTTGGGATGGCTGGTTGTGTGTTTCCCCCCTCCCAGGCATCCCCCATATTAAGTCCATGCCATGCGCACAGCTCGAGTCTCTACACGGGCATCTCAGGGGTCTCTGCACATAGGATGGGGGTCTCTGCATGGGAAGTGTGGGCACTACCAGACCTTCTTCCCCCCCTGGGAACACCGTTGTTGGAGGAGCAGCTCATTTACCTTTGGCCTCGTGGCCGGAGGCGGCTGCTTGTTTGCGAGCCCAGAGCTCGCTGGGCACTCAGCGTCCTGGACAAAAGGCCCGTACTCAGCATTTCTGGCCACCGGATGGGAAAATAAAGGTCTTCCTCTCCCCTCTGCTGAGAGACCTTTAATAAGGGACAGAGGGACCTGGCTGCCGCCTCTCACCCCACTGAGCCGGGGGCAGCCCAGGTCAGTGGCTGAGATTTGGGAGGTCGTTGGGTGCGCACTAGTTTTAATTTGGGAGGCTTTGGGGGGGATTTAGCAGGCTCATCCTTGCTGCTGTCCCAGGGACCTAGTCACACACACAGAAACAAAACCCAGCAGTGACTTTGCTTCCTTTCATAAGCCAGTTCCCCGCATTTCACCACAGGCACAAAGGACACAGTGTCTCCCCCAGCATGGGAGGGACCCCTGGGGACTTGGGGCTGGTTGCTCAAGTGGTGTCACCCCTAAGCATTGCACACTTGCTTTCCTTGATGTCCCAAACTGCTATTGAGGACATTACAGGGGCTTTCTGTAGCGCTTTAATTGGGATCTCCCATGGAGAGGTATCTGCACAGCTCGCGCTCCAGCCTTGTCTTCCCTTGTTTACCAGGGAGACATCACGCCTTCACCAACACCCATCCATTACAGAAATCACTGCAACGAAGAAGGGCCCAGCGCTGGCAGCATGTCCATCCCGCTGCTTTGCCCCTAGAGGTGAGGAAATTGCTTTTCTTGTAAGTACATGAGCTGAGAGAAAGAGGGGAACATGGAGGGGCTGACTGTCCCCCAGGAGCCCTTGTAATCACGCACTAGGAGACCAGGGCTGGACAGCCCTTCCTGGGACTGCCATGACCTCTAGCACTTTGCTTCAGGGATGGGATGGGATGGGAAGGAAAAACAAAGCAGGGAAAAAAAGGGGTAAAATGCCCTCTGCAGTATTTCACTGCAGGAGGCAGGGTGGGAAGGCAGGCTGACAGGGGGGCTGGCAGGGAGGCAGACCCACTTGCAGGGACCCCCCTGGACTTGGCAGGATTTTGGGTTTGTCAAACCCTACTTTACCCCTGTCAGGGAGAACAGAGCCCATGGCTCCTGCCTAGGATGGAGGAGGTGACGGCTCCTTTTGGGGTGACGCCTTCCAGCCACAGGGTTCATCCTTAGCCCATGGGAGAGCACTGCCCAAATATCAGGGCTCTCCTTGGGCCGGGCACATTAGCCCCATCATATATGCTTTTCCAGGTGAGCTGTGAACTCCTGTCTCTGAAATGAGGAAAGCTCAAAACTACTTTTTTTTTCAATACCTTTTTTTTCTCCCAGTTGAGCCTCTGACATGGTCCCATGGCTCCAGGACATGGAGACTTAATTAATCGGTCACTGCAGGGAACAGTGATGACACGGTGCAAAGGCAGGAGGGAAGCCTGAGCTTGCATCCCACTCCATCCCCACCGAACGTCCGTGTCTTTTCCAGAGGCACCAATGCTCTCTCACCCTCAGCACTCTCTGCTCTGACTGGTGTCCGTTATCCAGTCTCGGTACGCCCTCAGCTGGTCACAGAAAATGCTGGGAAAGGGAAGAAAAATATTTCATACCGTTTTGCCCTTGCATCTCACAGCACCTGTGGGTGCATGGATGTTGTCCGGACCCACAAGGGCACAGGAACTGAGCCCACTCCCTGGATGGGGGATGCTGGTACCCGGGAATGCCCTGAAAGCATCAGTGGCATTTCTCCCTGGATGGGGGATGCTGGTACCCGGGGGATGCTGGTACCCAAGAGATGGCCTGAAAGCATCACAGCATTTCTCCCTGCGCAAAACTCTGCTCCTGGGGCAGGAGTCACAAGCTTGGCATGTCCCTGGGGGTTACAGAGCAATGCCAAACATCTAAATACATATGCAGTGAGTCCAAAGGTGTGAAACCCCTGAAAATAAAACATCCAGGCTGCAGCTCGGAGCACAGTCAAGTGACAAGTGGCTGAGCTGAAGACAAACTTACTCCATTGAACTTCGAGCATGTGGTTGCTTCACCAGCAAAATTCAGCAGCATGAGCCACAGCACGTCGCCACAGCCATAGGGTTCACACTTGGTATGTGCTTGATGTTGGCAACAAGTTTCCTCTTCGAGCAGATGTAGAATTTCCTGGTTGAAGGGACAGGGACACCAAGACTGATTTTTGCTCCTGCTGCTTGTGGGCTGCCCCCGGGTGCCAGGGGAGAGAGAAAAGGGAGCGAAAAGTGACCCAGGTCACGAAAATGGTCAGAGGACTAGAACACCTCTGCTATGGAGAGAGGCTGAGGCAGTTGGGGCTGTTCAGCCTGGAGAAGAGAAGGCTCTGGGGAGACCTTATTGTGGCCTTTCAATACTTAAAGGGTGTTTATAATAAAGAAGGGGACAGACTTTTTACCCAGTCCTGTAGTGACAGGACAAAGGGTAATGGTTTTAAATTGATAGAGGGTAGGTTTAGATTGGATGTAAGGAAGAAGATTTTTACAGTGAGGGTGGTGATACACTGGACCATATTGCCCAGAGAAGCTGCGGATGTCCCATCCTCGGAAGAGTTCAAGGTCAAGTTGGATGGGCTTTGAGCAGTCTGATATAGTGGGAGATGCCCATGGCAGGAGGGTTGGACTAGATGACCTTTGAAGGTCCCCTCCAACACAAACCATGCTATGAATCCAGTGTTTCATTAATGATTTCACTAATGTTGTGTGCAGCAGGACATAAGCAGCTTGCTATTTGAAGTCAGCATTCCCTGCCTATATATACACATTCTTTTGGGGGAGAGGTTTGGGTTGAAGCGCATGGTTTCAAGCGGCACCTGTGATACCACAACCCCTCACACAGACGCTCCAAGACAACATACAGAGTTGCTGATATACCTGCAGCCACTGGACAGTGATCAGACCTCAAGCAAGAATGCAGTCCAAAAATCCTCCCCCTTGGGTACCCCGGCTTTTAATGTGTCTTACCCTGAAGAACCCACCTGCATCTCCCACCCAGCTGGTACCAAATGGTCCCCATGCTCAGAGCAGCCCTGTCCCCCAGCACCCTTCCACTTCCTCCTGTGATATAGACCTCCTTGAGCCTTTCTGGGGGGGCTATCTTTCACCCAGGCCCTAAAAGCCCGTGGTCAAGACACTCGAAGGGCAGGACTTGGGACCGCCAGCTCTGAGCACTGGTGTATTTGCAGACAGCCAGATCTCAAAAGAGGATTTCTGCCCAAGAGGGGATGGGACAAGCCCAGACAGATGCAGGGTGACGTGATGGGGGATTTTTAGCAGCAGCACATCTGTCCAGGTTTCAGAGACCACATTCAACACCATCAGGTGTCAAACCCCAGAAAAACAATGCCGTTACCCATATAGTGAGCAGCAGAGGGGTTTTTGTTAATAATGAATTTCACGGGCATAGAAGGAAGACAAAACCAAGCTGCAGTCTAGTTAGAGAAGGGTTTTTTTTGAGTGTGACAGGACTAAGTTAACACAGTTAATGAAATGGATCAGAGACAGAAGAACAGGACTCCAGGAGGGCACGTGTGGTGCCTTGTTGGATGAAGACAGTGCTTAACCCAGGCTCTCTCCTCCCACCCTCCTGCAAATGTATGCACTTTTAAAGATAAAGCAGAAGACCCAGACCACACGTGAAACTTTTAATGATTGTAGATCCAGGTGGAGAAAATCTGAAATACAGGGTTGAGATAGAAGACTGCAGGAAGGTTGCCGTCACTGAGCACAGAGGGACACTGAGCATTTCCAGGGCACGCAGGGGATGCCACTGCACTTCAAATAAGCTCTCTTGCATGAACACATACTGCCGATCAGCTGCCTTCTAGAAGGGCAAGTCTATAAGCACCTGCTGGAACCTGATGAAAAATTGAGGATAAATCCCCACAAATAATTAAAAGAACAACCCAGGAGGGGCTCAAGCCCCAGATCCAGGCTTGGACCCAGAACCTGCAAACAGGAACATGGCATGAAATCAGGGCTGTGTCTCAGATGTGCTCTAACCTGTGCTGCGCTTGTACACAGGTTCATGTAAGGTGGTGCCCCCAGCCAGGCACCCAAAATTCCCATCTCCTGTGCAGCCAGCTCCCCCTCCTCGTGATTTACTGCCTTTGTGCAAAAAACACAGGGACAGGTTTTGCTCCACATTGTAACGCACAAAACTCGCACAGACACAATCCCAGAACTGCAGCAGAGTCTGGACAAGCCACTGGTGAGACGGGAGACAAACATCAGGGCTCTGGGGTGACAGTCACGTCCTCCGGCCCCAGGAATGGCTCTTTTGCCCTTTGGTGACTTGCTCAAGTGCTGAGCACAAAGCTCCTGTGGGGCAAAGAGGACAGCCACAGGGATACTGAGCTCTAACTCTACTGTTGGCTTCTTTGAGACTTCCTGGGATGGCTTTCTGACCTGGTTTTGCATGCCTCGGTACTTCCTTGGCTTGTACACACTCCTGCTCAGGAGAGCTTTAAGCCTCCGTGCCCATTCCTTTGGAAAAGCCACCTCTGCTCCCCCATCCCCAGCAGCTCAGAAATCCCCGTTCCTGATGGCAGGTGCCCAGAAGGGCTCAATGGCTATGGTGCAGCAAAGCAATACCTTCCCCCCATCCCTATCGGGGCACTAGGAGTATTTATAAGGCACCCAGAGGTCTTCTCCTGAAAGCTGCACAGCACTCAGGACTCAAACACAGTCACCAAACACACTGGGGGCACCCAAGATGTGGCTCAGCAGAAAGCAAAGAAGGAAGGCAAAGGAGGAGGCGAGAGTAAGTCAGATGTCGTAGAAATCCACGTGGGCACCGGAGCTGAAGGTGTCCTCCTCCAGGAGATTCACCAGCTTCTGGGCTGACACAGTGCAGTCTATGAGCTGCCCGCTCTCCTGCAGGCTTTGGAAATACTGACGCATCTCAGGGTCTCCGGTCTTAGTCCGAGCCAAGAGCTGCATGTCCGTATCCAGGGGACCTGGAGAAAAAGCAACAAAAGAGAAATCACATAAGGAGAAGGCAAAATCTGGGGCTCATTTTCCCTCTGCATCTGGCACAGCTGCAGGAATCTTTTATCCACAAAGCCAAGAGAAAATTAATAGCAATTGATGAGTTCCCCTCCTCACCTGGGGCATAGTTGAGGACACGGACATCAGGCTCCTCGAGTGCCAGCACCCGGTACATCATGTCCCGGGAAGCCTTCCCACTGCAGTACAGCGCCCAGTTCTTGAAGGGCTTCACAGCACAGAGCGAGGAGATGTTCACCACCGTCCTGCTCGAGCCTGGCCGCTTCCCGAAGGCTTGCAGGGCGGTGGAGGTGAGGCAAAGCGCGGAGGTGACATTGAAGGCAAAGTAGCTGTTGATTTCATCTGGGTCGGTGAGGTCCAGGAAGGATTTGGAGATATCTCCCAGGGAGCCTAGGAAGGAAGGACAAATGAGTTAGAGATGGGTTCAACAACACAGCAGATCCCTTTTGCTCCTACATTTCCATGTGCAACACACTATTGCAGATAAAAGCGAGCAGCTTTGCTGGCCCAACTTCTAGCAGGGTCTCACAGCAGAGTAAGGAGCTCAGCACAGCCCAGCTCTGCTCATCCCTTTCGGGTCACCTCCTGAACCGACAGCAGTGACACAGGACACAGACCTGCCCTGCCAATCCTCTGCCAAAACAAACAGCTCCCAACCTCCAGCCCGAAGTACAATGTCCCTGCAGGCCACCACGCGCTCTCCTGCATGTCCTTTTTTCAGGATAATAGAAGGCCTAACTCCTGTAGCACCCAATACCTGCTGGAACGCGTGGTCCTATTTATAGTGACAAGGGGTGAAAAAAGACACTAAAACCAACAGACATTAAAGATTGCAAGAGAAGGACCCACAAGGCAGAGCTGGAAGTTCTTCTGAAGGTTTGTCCTCAGGGAGCAGAGTGGTAGGATGGTACAGGAGGGCAACCAGTGGGTTCTACACCATAAGTAACTGGTAAAACCTTGCGAGCAACAAAGCACCGTGGTCCCGGCAGCGAACCATGCCTGCTCTGCTCCCCAAATTCATTACTTTAATGAAATAATAAGATCCAGACAGGGTGAAATCCCCGCTGCTCCTTCGGTTATTTACTCGGTCCGGTTACTCACTGGCACCCAAAGCACCGATCGAGCCTCGGCTCTCAGCCACGGCAGAACCAAGGGAGAGCTCGCCGGGGCCGAACCCCGCTGTTCCGGGGGGGCGGAGGGCAGCGAGGCCGGGGCGGGGGAGGGGTGGGGTGGTGGGTACGACGAGACGTTGTTACCGGCGTTGTTGATGAGCAGCAGGCGGC